CTCCCACGACTCCAAAACTGGGCCTGGAAGTTGCGCACCGCCACCGCCTCTGAGAAAGTCACGCCACTGCTGTCATGAGGGGTCTCGGTGCTCACGCAATATCGCGTGGGCCCCGCTCGGATAATCACCCACCAACTTCTGGCATATCACCCTGTACTCGTTCAACTGCTGCTGTCCATTCTCTCGTGTCGTGCGTCGGCGCACCCCTGCCACAATCGTCGCCACTCGCGTCCACCACTGTGCGCGACTGTCACGTAGGTGGAGTTGCCTCTTGCGCGCGACCTCCTGCACCTGCCGCGCGTGAATCTGCGGACCGTACGCACGAGCTGCTCCTGTCGTCGGCTGCTGGCTGTGGGCATGGATGGTGCGTTCGACCGCGGTGGCCCACGCTGCATAAATACCTGATATTGAAGCTGAGCGTTTTTCTTTGAGCCAAAAGCTACGGACTTGGGTAACGGAGGAGTGACATATTCTAAACAACTGGACCCCGAAGCGAACCCGACCTCAGACCGAACCTTGCACCGGAGATCCTGGGGAATGTTAAACGACGGTTCAGGGGTGGGGGCTCCAGGGCCAGCGATTAACGGCTCAGGCTCAGGAGTGCTTCTTGAACTGTTCTCAGCTTTTGTAGTCACGGGGGGCTGGCTCGAATTGGGGGGGGGGGGCTATCGCGCAACGCCTGCTCTCCAAGACAACTGCCTGGGCCTTCGAGGGCCGCCTGGGCGCTGGCCTCGGCTGACATCTCGTTGGACCTGGGCGCGGGAGCGGGGTCGCCGACAGCCAGCGTGGAGGGAGGGGGGAAGGGCGCACCCGCGCCCGCACAATATAGGAAGTTGAGCTCATCTTCCCACGGGTCAGGCTCATCTGGCCAGTCCTCCTCAATATAAAGCTCGCTGGGTATTTCAGGCCCCTCTTGGGCGTGCGCGCCCTGGGGGGGGGGGGCCTCGGGGTGAGACGGCGACCGGAAACAGTCCCCAAACATTGAATTCAGAAAATCGTTCCGCTCACTTGCAGCCTCCTCTTGGGTCACAAGCTTCTGAGCCCTAGCAATGCTGCTTCTGTACCCTGGAGTGGGCGCCGTGCGGGGGCGAGGGAGCTGAGGCAACTTAGAGGGGAGCTCAAGGATCCCAGTGATCAACTGAAGGCCAGAGCCCCTGAACGCAATGTGCAAGCCTGCGTGGGGCCTCCAAGCTACATCCCTCACCTGTCGTATGTCTTTCACAAAGAGGACTGCCGACTCAGAGCACACCATGAAATCGATCGAAGAGTCTGGTCCTTTTTTCTGCGCACGCGTGCCGCCGCCTGGTGCCGTTCTGACTACACCGTTGAGCCTCTGCGCGAACAGTGAAGCCGTCACAGCCTCTGGCGTCATATTGAAGTCGCCGACGATCGCCCACGGCAGCCTCGCAGCCTGCAGTAACCCGCCCAGACGACTGAATCGGGTCTTGTTCAGGCCGCGCATGCCGAGGGAGGGATGCCCATATATGAGCACTATGATCATGCTGTACCCGTTGAAATTGATGACAATCGGTAAGGAGCCGTCGAAGGCCGAATGGCCTGTCTCCGAGAGTTGAGCACGAGCAGCGCGCGCTTCGGGAAGAAGGCGTGCCTGTAAATGTTTCCTGCCCATGAACATTTCTCCACCTTCATTCGATCTGTGCTGCTTGCGCTCCGACGCGACCTTGCCAGAACTACGCGCTGGATTGTGGTGCAATCGGTAGTGCATCTGCCTGGCCTTTTGGTCGCACTTCTGAAATTCTTCACGTTCATGCACATGGGTCTCGATGATACCCCAGCACTGGTACTTCGCCGAATTCTTGGAAATGTATTTCCATACTTTGTCGGAGAGCCCCGTCACGTTCGCCACAAACATGCGCGTCTCTCCGTCAACCTCAGATGCTGACTGCGGGGCCTGAGGTGCACCCCCTGCCTCATGTCAAGCGGTCGCGCCGCCAGGCGCTCCACCAGACTCGGCCGTCAGCTCGCTGCCCTTGCCCTTCGCCTTGGCCGCCGCCTGGTGCGCCTGGAACTTCGCGTCTGGGGCGGCTGGGCCGTCGGCCTCGCCCGCGGCTGCCGTCGCCTCGCCTGAGGCCGCCTTCCGCTTCTTCGCCATCCTCTCCAAGATCACTACCTGGTGTGCCTTCGCCTGCTCCATCCACGCTTTGACCTCCTCAGATTTGGTGGCCAAGCTGGTGCGCGTAGCGAGGAGGTCCTTCTGCAGCTTTTCAAGCGTCTGTTTCTCCGACTCCGTGCACTCCAACTCTGGCAGGCTGTCGAAGAACTTCTGGTCCCACTCGATCCTGAACATGGGGCCGTCTGTCTCACTCTGCGTTGGCGGAGTGGGGAACGAGCCGACCCCCTCGGCGATCGCGAGCTTCTTCGCCGCGTTCGCCTTGGCCTCCTGTGCCTCGGCTAACTTCAGAGCCGCTGCCTGCTCTTTCTTCTCTGCCGCCAAGAGGCTCGAGCGTAGCCGCATCACCGACGCCACAGCTTGTTCATG